CAATAGACGCAATCTACATAGACTTCTGTAAAGCCTTTGATTCAGTGGTACACGACAAACTACTCCTAAAAATAAAATCCTATGGTATCTCTGGACAACTGAATAACTGGATAGAAGCATTCCTGGCAAACAGACAACAAATGGTCAAAATTGGGAGCGTCCTATCAAATTCTGTACCTGTCAATAGTGGTGTCCCCCAAGGCAGTGTTCTAGGACCAACTCTCTTCATACTCTACATAAATGACCTCTGTGATCATATTAAGAGCAATTGCGTTCTTTTCGCTGATGATGTAAAGCTGTTCAATACCACAGACAATACTGCTACCCTACAAAAAGATCTTGACTATGTATCAGAATGGTCAAACAAATGGCAACTTCAAATCTCAACAAATAAATGCTCTGTCTTACATATTGGCAAAAAAAAATCAGAAAATAAGATACAAGCTGAATAGTCAAGATCTTGTTGATGACCCAAGCTCTGTAAAGGACCTTGGAATACTCACCTCTAATGATCTAAGTGCTAGAGCCCACTGCAACTACATAGCCAAAAAGGCATTAAGAGTTGTTAACCTAATCCTACGTAGCTTTTTCTCTGGTAATATCACACTACTAACCAGAGCATACAAAACATTTGCTAGACCAATACTCGAATACAGTTCATCAGTCTGGAACCCACATTACGTATCTGATATTAGCACAATTGAGAAAGTCCAGAAATATTTCACAAGAAGAGTTCTCCACTCCTCTACTCGTTGTAGAATACCTTATGCCACCAGACTTGAAATTCTAGAACTAGAAAACCTTGAATTACACCGTCTTCGGTCTGATTTAAGCATGGTATATAAAATCATACATTGCAATGTCCTACCTGTCAATGAATACTTCAGCTTCAACCATAACAACACAAGAGCACACAATAGATACAAACTCAAAGTTAACCGCACCAAACTTGATTGCAGGAAATACGACTTCAGCAATAGAGTGGTCAATGTCTGGAATACTCTACCCGACTCTGTAGTTTCTTCCCCAAACCCCAAAAACTTTAACCTTAGACTGTCTACTATTGACCTCACCCCTTTCCTAAGAGGTCTGAAGGGGGCGTGCATAAGCGCACCAACGTGCCTACCGTCCCTGTCCTATTGTTTCTCTTATTCTTCTTTTATTTTTCTTATATGTACCCATTTCATGTATTCACAACTATGTATACACTTATACTTATTATCTTGTAAACAATTGGCAAATCAAATAAATAAATAAATAAAATAAACTCTGTTGTTCTGTATTCTATATTCTGCACCTTGAGCATCAACCAGCCCCACTTTGGAAAGTGCTTGATGAGGAGGATCAGTGGCATTTCTGATAGGCCTCCCTGTCCACTTACAGGTGGCCCTAGTGGGCCAGGAGCCCATCCTATTCTCTGGGTCCATCAGGGAGAACATCACCTACGGCCTACAAGGCTGCAGTGAGGAAGACGTGAGCAGAGCAGCGGAAGAAGCTGATGCCTTGGGATTCATCTGTGAGCTGGAAGGAGGCTTTGATGCAGGTGGGCAAAATCCATCCATCCCCCCTTGATTCATCCCATAAAACCCCCACTTTCCTCCCAGTAAACCCACCGGTCCCATTTCTTGGCTCTTCTGAAGTGAAATCCTGCTTGTTTTGTTGCAATATATACAGTAGTCCTTAGGTTAGGACCATTCCTTCGGCTATCTTTCCAAATTACAGTGGCACCAAACAAATGGAGGTTGCAACCAGTGGTGGGATTCAAATAATTTATTAAGCGGTTTGCTTGCCCCACCCACCACCCCCCAGATGCCCTCGCTTCCCCCGAGTATTCAAAATCCAAGAAAGAAAACCTTAGACTCCATTGTTATAGAGCAGTGGTGGCTAACTTTTTTGGGCTCCTGTGTCAAAAATTGTGTGTGCGCTTGCATGCTCACACTCGCGTGCCAGCACCCAGAAGGCAATGTGTGCCCCCTCATGCCCCCTATGCATGCGCATGCAATCCCCCCACCCCGCTGCCCCCTTATCTGCACTGTACCTCGCAGCTGATTTTTAGCTGATTTGTGGCCTTTTTCAGCCTCCCAGAGGCTTTAGGAAGGCTTCTGCAGGCTTTTCAGGCCGAAAACTAGGACGGTTTCGTCACTTCCGGTATTTCCAGAAAAACAGGAAGTGACGAAACAGGCCTAGTTTTCGGTCTGAAAAGCCTGCAGAAGCCTTTCTAAAGCCTCTGGGAGGCCGAAAAAGGCCTTAAACTGGCTGAAAATCAGCTGTGAAGCGTGCGCATGAGGTGAATTTGCCTGCAGCTCGCGTTCCGGCACAAATGGCTGTGCGTGCCACCTCCTGGGATTTGCAAATACCTGTAGCCCAGGGGTCGCCAACTGGTGCTCCGTGAGAAAATTTGGGTGGTCCGCAGAGAAATCTCACTCCTAAACCACCCCCCAAAGCAATTAATCCAGGCTGCGCCGGAACACAAGGCTGTACTGCCCACATGGTCCGCAGGAACACAAGGCTTGTGTCGCTATCATTGTGAACAACACGAGGTAGTGAGGGGAGGGGTGAAAGGGCGGAGGGAGGGAACTTGCCCCACACACCTAGTCTGGCGCTGGGCTGCTTCTTTCTTCTGCTTTTGGCTGCATGCAAGGAAAGCAGCAAAAGTCTTTCTTTCCCCCCCCAACAAACTCCACCAGAAATGAGTCTTTGGGACCTGGCAAGGCATCCTGCTCCAAGTGCGACAAGTCTCAAAAAGACTCATTTCTGGCAGAGTTTGGGGGAGAGAAAGAAATAATTCTGTCTGTCTGTCTGTCTGTCTCTCTCTCTCTCCCCCCCCCTCCCGAGAACAGAGCTGGAGAGTAAGCAATGCGGTCACATAGTATCAACCTTAAAACCACCTCGCTGTTGTGGTTCGCCGGCAGCAGATGTGGACGGCTGAGGTCTCTCAGAGTGAGGACTCGGATGAGGGGCCTGTGTGTGATGCAAGGATGGAGCCAGGACTATCAGAGAATGGGATGCTGCCTGCGGAGCCTGTGGAGTCTGGCAGCAGTGATGCAGAGGACCCCGAGGAGCCTGTGCCCAGTGCGCATGGCCGCAGGGCTGCTCAAAAGAAAGAGCAGCTGCAGCAGCACAAGTGACTCGGGAGTAAGGCTGCAAGGTGATGGCCTCTCCCTTAAGGGATAAAAGCCAGCCTTAAGGGGTGGGGTTCTTTGCAGGAAGCAAAGAAGTTCTTGCACTTCCAGTCTCGTAGTTCAGTCTATCCTGGTTTGGTGTTCAGAGACTTTTGGCTTTGAATATTTCCTTGCAATTTAATCTTGTGTTCCTGGCAGCCTTGCAATACCTTGACAGGGCTTGTTCTTATCTGGGACAATTAATTTTAATAGCACTTTACTCTGAATGAACGGAATTCACAGAGAGGCATTAAAAAGGTTTTGCTTTTATCTCTGTTTTGCATTTGTTTGATTTGAACGAGGCTTGGGTCAGAACAATCGCTTAGCAATGAAAACTCCTGTCACAGTTGCACTTGTAACTTGAGGACTATCGGTAACGCTCCGGGTTACACGATCATTCTAATTGTAACAATATCAAACACTAATGCAGAAAAGAGAATTCAAAGAGCTGATTGCACCGTTGTGCCATTTCAAAAATCACAAATCCTAAAATCTCTTCTATAATTGTTAAAAAGTGCAGGGAGGTCTTCCCCTCCTCTGGACCTTTTGCACTGTCCAAATTTTATTTATTTATTTATTTCATTTGTCAATCGCTTACAAGATAATAGATATAAGTATAAACATGAGTAAGAATACAGGAAATAGGTACGAATAAATGGGACAATAGGACAGGGATGGTAGGCACGATGGTGCATTTATGCACCATTATTACGGTATCTCCCTCCCACTAGAAGTTGGGCTTCTAGTTTTGCCTTGTTTTTCAGCTGAGTGGCTTTGCCACCCCTTTAGGGCAACAAGATTTGGTCAGCCTTGACTTCGCTCTTGATTTTCCTTGCTTGCCTTCTTTTGCAGAGGTGGGGGAGAAGGGGGGCCAGCTCTCCATCAGGCAGAAGCAACGGCTGGCCATCGCCCGGGCCCTGCTCCATGGCCCGAAGGTCTTGGTGCTGGATGAAGCCACAAGTGCCTTGGACCCCGAGAGTGACGCTGCAGTGAGTGTGGAGAATCCACGAGGGGGCTGGGATTGGATCTTGGCTGGAGTAGTTCAGGGCCGCTGAAGGGCTT